CTGTGAGTGTGTACGTCTCTGTTTCCACGCACACGTGTAGTCCCATTTCTGTGGTGTTTCTTTAATTTGTCTGTTTTCTATCATATCTAGATCCTGCCAGCCACAGTTTAGCTCCTCTTCTTATTTCTTGGGAATTTAGCTCAATAAGAGTATACTCTAAAATCTTATTCCTAGGTGGGCATTTGTAGGTAGATGGAGGAAGTATGACAGGTGACCCACAAGATTGCCAGCATCCAATTCTTTATGCTTTTTTAAATCCTCACCCAAGGATATGTTTATTGATTTTAGAGAGTGAGTAAGGGAGAGAGAAAAGGGGAGAGAAACAGATTGGGTGCCTCCTGTAAATGCCCAGGTCAGGGATCTAACCTGCAGGTCTTTGGTGTGTGGGAGGACGCTTCAACCAGCGGAGCGATCCAGTCAGGGCAAGTGCTTTTCCTTTTAATCATATGCTGAGCCCATCGGAGTTAGGTGTGAGCTTTAATCGTAATATCAATGAGGGTACTGAACAAGGATAACTTGTTTCTTTTTTAAAAAACATTTTATTGATTGTACTATTAATAGCCATTAGCCTCTTCCCTTGCATCCCTTCCACCTCCAGTCCCCCAGAAGCATCTCCTGCTCCTGCGCCCACCCATGCTGGTTCTCTTCCATAACTGACTGAGAATCAAGCAGTTAGGTAATGTTGGGAGCGTGATAGGGTTGTGTTTCTAAGCTATTTCAGCATCATCACAAGCTATCTCATTCTTTCATCCTGATGTTCTGAATGGAACAGGTCACATTCTGTTGCAGTGCCCAGAGTAACCTGCTGGATTAGAACATGACACAGTCTCTAATAAGGGTGAGTGAAACTTTGCAGAAACGAATGGTATCTGCTGGTCTGAGGACACAGTGTCAGGATAGAGCAAATAGCAATATTATTTTAAGGTTCCAAAGTGATTCTTACAAATTGCTATGCTTGTACTTTCACTTTGCAAGTATGGAAAGTCTCCTCTTACCAGTGAAATAATTCATGGTTTAGCTTTATTTTCTTTTAAGGTAACTAACTTATCCTTCATGAATCTGACCTCTGTGGGAGTCTGTATTCATGTATGAGACTCCTCCTTTCTTCTCTGAGTATTTTCTGTTGTGTTGTTGTTATTGTGATGATAGTGAGGTTGTCATTGTAAATAAGTAATTCATTCAGTAGGGCCCCAAACACATGAAAGTCTCTTTGGTCAAATTCTTCCTCCCACTCCTGTCCCTTAAGCCTGCAGCCACTCAGTTCTTTTCCCAGAAGACACCCACTGTATTCATATTTTGCTTTCCTTTCAGATTTATTTCATACACATATAAACATATGTTCTTTTCCCCTTTTTAAACAGATGGTAGCAGGCTGTCTACACAGAGTGTTCTGTAATGTGCTGAACACTGTGTATTCAACTATATATACATGTTTTTATATATAAGTATATAAAGAGGTTTCTTATACTTTTTTATAGCAGCAGAATATTCTATCTTATGGATATGTGATAACTTTTTTAAAGTTTTCCCCATAGATGTAGATCTAAGCTTCCTGATGGTTTTTGAGATGAAGGTTCTGGGTAAGAATGAATAAGAAGAATCCATACTGACTTCATGCAGATGAAATAAAGTCAGAGATTGAGTGTGGTCTGGTATCATATATAAGAGATTTTTCTGTGAAACGATAAAAATGCTGCAGTGTTTTTTAGTGGAACATTTAGTTTTGGAGAGCTAGTTTTGGCAATCCTGGAATAATCAAGAAAAGAATATGGTATACATTTTTAATGGATTATTTTATAAGCTACTAGGCCTCAAATTTTTGAAAATAAGGGGTTACGTTCTAAAAGACTATTCTGAGTCTAGCCATATGTATCCAGATTCATGAAGGTTGATAAAAGGAAATAAAAAATGGTACCCATCATTCAGAACAGGATTGGGAAAAACTTTCTCGAGTAATAAAGAACCCACTTTCTCATTAGTTCTTGTGTAATACATACATTAATGGGCTAGATTTGGGGGTGGAAGGAAGGCAGAATTAAAACTTTCTTGAGAACATGGTCGCTGACACATTGTAGCTCAAAAATTATATGTTTAATTCAATGGAAGTCATGATCAAAGAATTTTAAAATACTGGAAAGACAATTTTAGAAATATATTAATGTATACATTGTTACACAGTATATATATTAAAGTATTAATATGAGGTGATGTTTGAACTAGCAGAGCATTGGAAGACAAAAGTCCTAATTCAGGAAGGAATAAACTATAAAGTTCAGTTTATGCTGCTTTTTGAAGTACTACTTTGACCTTGAAAATCTTACTTGTACCTAAATGTAAATCTGGAAACACAAATATGTCTAGTAGATGAATTCAGCCTGTTAGCAAAATTGTTGAGTAGCTCAGAAACACGTGCTATTCTTGTGAGCCTGAAGGCAGGAGCATCTCCATCCCCTCTGCATGGGGAGCCAGCCCCGAGACCCTCTTCACCTCACCCTACGGAGAACTGTGTGCCTTCACACGCAAGATGGATCATTTACTTCTACATTGGAAGCTACTTGGGAAGTTTCCTTACCTTTTGTTTGTTTGGGGTGTCTTCTTACTTATTTGATGATTTCTTTGACAAATAGGTTAATCTTAAATGTGCAACCAGATACATCTCCACCTAAGTGAGTTTATTCAGGACAACAAAAAATTGCAATTTGGCATATGTGGTCTAGTCACACCACAGATACTCATAAACAAAGGCAACCATCTTTTATAGAATTGGGAAGGATTGTTGTAAATGAAGAATCCATTGGAGGCAACTAAAAGTTCAAAGTATAGTGACTTCTCATTGGTTGAGCTATTGCTGAGCAAGGAAGAATCTTCTTCTGAGGTACTAGAATAGTACCAGTTCCTGTCAGGGATGCGAGGTATGTCTCTTCCTTTTGGGGTCAGCAGTGCAAATAGAGTGACACACACGAGAGTTCTCTCTCCCAACCTCCCTTATAAATGATGTTTCTGTTTATCCTAGCTGAGCAGCTCAGTTGTTTAGAGCATCGTCCAGATACACCAAGGTTGTGGGTCCAGTCCTCAGTCAGGGCACATATAAGAGCCAACCAATTAATCCATAAACAAGTGGAACAACAAATCATTGTTTCTCTCTCTCGCTCTCTCCCCCTCCTTTCTTCTCTCTGTCTAAAATCAATTAAAATTGTATTTATTTTTAAAGAGAGGGGAAGGGAGGGGGAAAGAGAGGGAGAGAAACATCGATGTACAAGAGAAATATCTATTGGTTGCCTCTCGCATACACCTCAACTGGGGACCAGCCAGCCCTCAACCTAAGCATGTGCCCTGACTGGGAATGGGACCGGCGACCTTTTGCTTTGTGAGACAATGCACAATCCACCGAGCCACACTGGTCAGAGCCAATAAAAATTTAAATGAGGTTTCTGTTTATTAATTTGCACAACTGAATTGTATGAGACAGAAATGATTTGTGTTCATTTAACCGTGTTGAAAAATAATCCCTATAAACATGTTTGCATTTATTTAGTTTATATATCTTTTAAATTATAGGAGAATTAAGTAAACAGTATGTTAAGATTGATAATCACAGTAATTGCTTTCTCTGAGAACAAATCAGAAGTTCAAAGTGACTAATGGCAATGATAATGTGTGTATCAGAATCTGCATTCAGTGCTCGCCTTAGCAACACATATATTAGAATCTGCGTTCAGAGTGTTTAGGGCACTTAATACACACCAATATATGGGTTTACCACTAAATTGGGAATCTACATTTACCAAATAACATAATGTTTTCACAATGTCTACTTTAGGATGAGAATTAAGAGGTGAGCAGCCAATATAGCTGTAGCTAACATGCAAGTTTAAACGGTTAGAACCCTTGTGTGTTTGCTGGTGTTCAGCTTTATGAAGTTACGTGTTTTGAAGTTACGTGATTAAAAATTCATCAGATGTTCTGTGATGATGTGGGTGTGTGAGGGGCTCTACTGTATTGTTTTCATCTCAAAGCAGATGAAGACGATGTTTTCATCTTTTCTCAGTGAAGAAACCAAAGCAAAGCAAGATTTAGTGGTCAGAGCCCACTGTTTACTCTCTACTGATAGAGCCCTTATCTTTTGATTCAAGAATATCTTCTCTCAAAGTGTTTTCTGAAAGACCCGTTGGTTCAGAGTAGAATTTTCTTCTTTCCCTAGTTTTCTGGGTTCCAAATTTATTCTGTCAGTAGTGGTGCTCCTTAAAACTTTAACTAGCATTATATCCCTTCTTTTCCAGAGTCTCAGCTGTGATGCTGATTTATCACAGAGCATTATTATTATAATTATGAAACAGGAGATAGGTCCCAGTAAAAGGTCAATACCAAGAAACGACTTTGCGTGACATGGCTAAAGTCTACAGGCCACAGACTGAGTTCAAAAGAAGTAACTCCAATCCAATTTATAAGGGAACATGTTCCCTGGAGATATGGTGTCTTCTATGTTCACTGCTTGTAATCGGTGTTATGGAGTGTTATGTTATGGTGTTATGGAGTGTTATGTTATGGTGTTATGGAGTGTTATGTTATGGTGTTATGTATGGGTGCTATTTCTCTTTAACAGTCATGAGTAACTTTCATTAAAGGTTGATTGTTGCTCAGTGTTGGATGAAGAATGTCTTGGTGGCTTAAATGTGTGTCCTGTGGCCCTGACCCCAAGCTCAGCCACATTTCTTTAATTTCAAAGATGTTCTTGGGAAAGGAAGAGACTGGTTTTTAGGTTACTTCCTCCTTCCATTTCCAGTGGGAAGTATCTCTCTTTTTGAACCCCCACTTTATTTGAACCCCTTTTACTTTTGCTGTGTCATATTTGAGGTATTTGTATCTGTTCTAAGGCTTTTTTTAGTTTTGTGTTTAATATCCAGGAGAATGTTTTCCTCAATCTCAGGGATGCTTAGTATTTCCCCTTGTCTCTTTTGATTAAACCTATTTGTACCCATCATCTTGGCTTTTGAATGCAGGTCTGCAGACTCCTGCTCCAGAGTTTATTGTTGATGTTGAGTCCATGGATATCTTCCCAGTGGGCTGGTGTGAAGCAAATGCTTACCCTTTGACCACACCACACAAAACAGTCTGTAAGTATCACCTAGGTTGGAGCCGAGATGGATCACCTCTGGGGTTGGGTGAACAAATCTGCAGTTCTGTAAAGATAGTGTAGTCAAGATGTAAAATGCAAAAGGTTTTAGATTTCCCACAGAGCACCAATTTCTTAAATTCCATTTATCCTTTACCAGTTTGCATGAGGTGAACGTTTCACAGGTTGACAAACTAAATAATAATGACGATACATTCGAATGTCATGGAGAGGCAAAGGTAATGTCTGGAATTTTTACTCTGTTTTGTATATAGTTCATTATGCAGATTTAAAAATTAAGTGTTATATTTTTGTATTATCACATCTGAGGAAGGACCAGTTTTTCTCATGAGGTTTACTCTAAGAGTCAGAATTGGTCCCAATAATTTAGTGGCATAGATATAAACACTTACTTACTCTTAACACTAACCAGTGAGATTTCAGCTGTGTTTTGAAAAGAGCATTACATGACATCACATCCTTCTGATGACAAAAATACCAACTTAAAAGAATATGAGCAGGGGGAAAATATTAGTGGTTAAACAAACCAACATCCCAGACATGTAAATATATACAATAGTATGTTCTAACATATGTTTTATAGGTCACTAACTTGAAAAAGTGCCATTTAAAAATCTTCAAGCCTAATAAATCTTGGCATTAATTACTCCACCATAGGTTTATCTAAAATATTATTTAAAATTTTGGGTCCTTAAAGGGCTTTACATTTTAATGAAATAGATTATATTTCTCATGTATTATTTGATTTTTTTCCTCGCCTGGGGACATTTTTTGATTTCTTGGAGAGAAAGAATCCTCGGTGTGAGAGAAACATTGATTGGTTGCCCTCTCATACGCCTTGACTGGGGATTGAACCCACAACCTGGATATGTACCCTGACTGAGAATCAAACTTGGAACCATTTGGTCTACAGGATGATGCTCCAACCAACTGAGCCAGATTGGTGGCTCAGAAACCACATCTTTTTCATATTTTTAATGTAGCTTCTATGCTAGCTTTACTTCTTTCTAGCAGTGTACCAGGATGTGGACTACGTGCATACTGATCGTACTATATGGTACTCGTATGTAGAGTCTCAGAACATTGCTATAAAAAAGTTCCATCTCACAATTGCCCTTTCATTCCCTGATGTCAGCAGATTTTGAAGGGAACCCAGAGTCCTCCTATTCGATGTTCCTCAAGAGCAGGGGGGGACATTCTGTGGAATAAAGAAGGTAGCTCTGATGGTAGACGAAGGTGGATTTTAAGGGATTGTTCTCTCACAAGTATCATGCTGCTCAATGAGTCTGATCCAGTGAGAGTATTAGCTTTCCCTCACTTCAAAATATTTTTTAAATTTTGATGTCAGGATAGTCATTTCAATCTCAAGGCATTCTTTTTTTTCAATTTTTCCCTCTAACTCTAAACCCACCAAACTCTTGACAGCTTTAGAAGTTTTGTTGGGATTAATTTATGCTTATGTTGGAAGATGCAAGAATACCTGTGCCAAAATTAATAGATGCCAAAAGCTCTGGTCTGTCTTTGTTAACATAGTTCTAATTGGTTATAAATATGAACTGGAAATGTTCTTTTCCAAAAATTGTCATTGGCTGGTTTATATTAATATTTGACAGACATATTTACCAGGCACCAGTCCTCCTTTCAAAAATAAAATGTTTTGCCTCTACTCCTAATTTGGGAATAGCTAGTATGGTAACGTTATTTGACTTATCACACTTTCTTTGTGAAAAAAGTCATCTGGGTAATTGTACTTGCAACAGTTTATCTTATCAGGTGTGTTCATGTGAGGTATGATATGTGTGCTATTTTTCTTTTGCATTAAAATCACATTTTAAAATGAAGTAGACAGTGTGTAGTGATAAGATTAAATACTAAATTTCTACTTAGACCTCACTTCTGGTAAGTCGAATGCTATTTTATGCTAGAAGAAATTAAGATAAAATTGTGGCATGAATGAAATAATTCTCCAAATTTAAATTGTTACCTTAAAACTGACAGTTTTACACCAAGCTGTTTTTAAAAATGCTTCTGCCCAACTAGCTAGCCATGTTGATTTTCTTTTCCTTTTTTTTTGCCTGTTTTACAGCTCAAAAGAAGAGAAAGATTGCAGTTGTGCAACCAGAAAAACAGTAAGTTTTTCTTTTCTTTTTTTTTTGTTGTTGTTCAGTTTTCAAAAACTACATAATAATAACCTGTGTAGAGTCTTTACAGGGGAGGGGAAGCGTGGCTGTTGTCAGAGATTTAACGCACAGCGCGGTGCTGAAGCTGACAGTAAAATGTATCTACTGTGATTTTATTGTGCACATGTTTTGTGCAGGACACGGGGCCTTCTTTCTTCTGAAGGGACTTCTATTCCAGACAGTAACTTTTCGCTTTTATTCTACGTCAGCACATCTGAAGGACACCCCGTCTCACACATGCCCCATAACGGCTCTCTGTGACAGTGGTCCTGCCTGAGAAGCCAGGCAGCCCACCCAGCACGCTCCCCATCACTGGTCATGGCCAGGCCCGGTGGGCAGAGACTTCCGGCCGGGAGAACTTTGGCAAGCTGGCTTAGGTTTTTGCATCTCAGTGCCCTCATTTGTAAAATACCTATTTCTCAGGGGTGTTTAGGAAAGCTAAATTAGGTTCCATGTGCAAAATTCGTAGGCCTGACATTGTTGAATGAATATAGATTATCCCACATTTTGATTGTATTGTAACTTTATGAGGACTGTGTGTATAGATGCCAACAGTATGTTTTTGAAAACTTGCAACTGTGGGTAGTATTTTTATATATTGGCAAATATCTGAAATATATTAAAATACATATTCCTTGCCAAGCCTTTCTGTTTTTTTAATATACTGATAGAAATGAAATTAAAAACAGCATTTTTTTCATGTACCCAAATTTAAATAAAATGAAATGGAATATAATAACTGCACTGCCATTGGAATGTGAGTAACAGTTTTGTGGTTATTTCTTGCACATTCATTTCTAAACAGTGTATCAGGTTAACAATCTGATTCCAATTTTATCTGGATAACATTGAAATAAAGAATAAGTAATAAAGTAGTTTCATCATCGAATCCAAATTTGAATTCTCAACTCCTACTAAATTTGCAGTCCGTGGATCAGTCCCCTACGCCACCCATCCAGCACAGATTGCCGGGCTCCTGTCCCCAGAACAGCTGACTCGGCGTGTCTGGGGTGGGGCCCGAGCACCTGCATGTCTGACAAGTTCCAGTGTCGTAGACGACCCAACCGTACCTCTCATATTGGTTTATTTCGACTTTATGTAGCTTTTCAATTGTGATTTCTACCCAACCAAGCTGGTTACCCCTGTGAAACCCATTCTACTTTCCCCCCCTAAGATTATTTATTTTTTAATATTTATTAAACAACTTTGTACTGAACTATAATGTAGACCTTTGTCCTAGAATAAGCCTGCTTCCCATTTTAAGAACCATCAGCTCATAGGTTTTCTTCGAAGGTCTTGTTTTTGGTGTGGCATGACCTACACAAACACAGTCTCCGGAAATCAAAGGTCACCAGAAAGTGGTTTTCATGTAGACATTAAAGAGAAAGCTGAATATAATTAAAGCCAGTGTAAGTTGATGTTTCTTCATGCCCAAAATACAACTAAAGACATTATTATAATTCTGTAACGAGAGCAGCCCATGACTTACGAGAACCTCATTGATCGGTGATGACCACGCTAGGGTCAGGTATCTTGGATCAGTGATGACCATGCGAGGGTCAGGTATCTTTGTGTTATTATCACAAGAATTAAGAACAACCCTGTCTAAGTGATCTTTTTATGTGTTCCTACAGATGTTGCTCCTAAATGCACACATCCTGTCTTACTAGACTCTTATATTTCTGTAAATTATAAAAAAAAACTTTGGAATGTACTGGTTTCTCCTACAGTATGCGACCCATGGAACTTCTATTTTTTTTATTAACAGATTGCCATCCGCAGTGCCTGTCGAGAAAATACCTCATGACCTATGTTTATTCCCTTCCCTGGACACCACAGGTAAATGAACTGTCGAGGGCTCCCTGTCACTTCCCAGTTTGTTGCCATGAGTGGAGATGTGCACATAATTTTAAGTCAACAGAAGAATATCTCAGCTTTGAGTATATTCTCTTTTACTCTGTTGCTGCTTATTAGTGGATACCTACACTTTAAAAAAGGGTTTTTTTAAGCTACATTTTTTTGTTCCTCTTCTATTCTGCTTCTTGGTCTGTAACTCTAGATAGTTCTCTTGGTCTGCATGAAAAGGGCCCAGGAGCTACTGAGAAATTCTGAGCCCAGTTAAGTCTGTGTGTCATGGAAAATAATGTGGAAAAAGGAGTTGAAAATAATCATTTTTTGGGTATTTTACGTCAGTTCTACTTGCATTTTTACAATAGTGGTTAGTACCTAAGTCCCTGTGGGCTTTAGAATTATTCCTTAAAACCCTCTGTGTTTGAATAGCTGGTTGTGAATAATATGTTTTTTAATATACAAAATCCTGCATCTTTCAGTGATCTTTGAAAACATGAAAGGGAATTACCCTTTGACCATAAGACTGATCATAGACAAGTTGGTACATTAAGTAATATATTTGATTAACAATTGTATTTTCTAGTCAAAATGAAACTTGCTCTGGATTCTGGGGTTAAAACCTGTATGCTATGGAAAAATCGTATTAGTTGAAGTTATCCTCGTTGTAAAGAGAGCAGTTTTATGAGTAGGTTTACTAAAATTGTTTTTCTAAGTGTCTGGGCAGTCATCCTTCCAAAAATTTCCATGTAAATGCAGTTGTGGACTTGATTTTTTGCCTGTTGTATAGAACTGAAACTTCAAAATGCCTTTAAAAGAGCCATGTCTGCTATTCTTTCAGAGTCTATAATTATTTTACTCCTTTCATCTTATATGAAGACAATTATATTTCTCTTTCTTTACCTGCTGGTTTTTAGTTGAGGTTCTATGAGAACAAAACTTCTTGGACTGTTAAATTGCCATCATAATTACAACAGTTTTTATAAAGAAATTCCACAGCGAGTGCAGCTTAGCTTGAAGCAGCAGTGGGAGAGAGTGAGTCTCTTAGCTCAAAGTAGAGCCTCATACTGTGTTTTTAGGCATCAAGGAGCTTTGGAGTGATATCATTTAGTTATTCTCCTTTTCCCCATGGCAGCTGTAGAGACAGCTAGACCAACAACTTGCCCTCTTCACTTTCTAAGTTGAAAGAATAATGAGGGAGATGCAAATTTAAGTCAGTGTTAGGAACATTTCACATCCATCAAATCAACAAAATGAAGAAACCCAATACCTAGTGGGAGACCAGAAACCCTTACATGGAGCTTATTCAAGTATCAATTTAGGCAGTCATTGGGAAGCTGTCTGGCCACGCCTAGTAAAACTGAAGATAGGCAGGCCCCATGGCTGTGTATCTTTACTCCTCGTTATATACTCGAGCATACATACATACATATATATGTGTGTGTGTGTATATATGTCCAAGTATATATGTATATATGTTCAAGTATGTGTGTGTGTGTGTGTGTGTACCTCTGGTCCATAAACAGGAGTAGATTTTTACAGTTATATTCATTAAAACACTGTTGGTAACATTGAAAAGGTGGAAGCAACTTCATGTCCATCAAAAAAAGAATGGAAACCTCCATTGTAATTTATTCCTGCAATGGAATAATACACAGAAGTGAAAAACGAATGAGTGTTTGGGATAATCATTTACCACTGTGGGTGGATCTGAGAAACTTCATGTTGATCAAACAAAATGTTGCCATAAACCACTTATGGAAGATTTAAAATATATTTATCTGTCTTGTTGTTAAACACATGCATGTGTCTGTGTGTGGTAGAGTTTACAGAATGATAAACACCAGTGCCAGGGAGTGGTTGCCTCTGGGAGGAGTTTCTGGAGCCGGACACACGGGGACTCAGCCCTGCGTGTTTTTTTTTTCCTGAAGCCTCATCCTGATACCTTAGTTATCATTGTCTTAAATTTTGCATTTTTTGTGTCTTAAATACTACACAATAAACAAAATTTATTTTATATGGTAGAAAAATAGTCAAAATTTCTAAGATATTATTGTGTCTGTAAAATGTTAAGATATTAGGACACCGTGTGCCTCTGGGTAGTTTTGCCAACCAAGTGAATGAAGCAAGCTTTTTGTCACTTCCTGAAGCATCGGCTGTGTTGCTCTTCCCTACAGGTACTGTCAACGGGAAATATTGCTGTCCTCAGCTGTTCATCAATCACAGGTGTTTCTCAGGCCCTTACCTAAATAAGGGGAGAATTGCCGAGCTACCTCAGTCCGTGGGACCAGGCAAATGTGTGCTGGTTCTTAAAGAGGTAAGCTGCAGTCACAATCATATTTGGCTTATTCTCACAGGGTATTTAAGGTATAGGTGCAATTTCTGAAGGAGGAAACAGAAATGTGAATCAATTCAGGTGACATTTACCAAGCACCTCCTGTCTCTCACTCCTATGGGCTGAAGATGGTCATAGGAAGCTGGAAAATGGTGTCTGTGCCCATGAAAGACCCTCAGTTAAGTGGGAGGAATGTACGTGCAGTCCTCTGAGTCAGAGGAGGCGTTTTACTGGGCCTGAACAAAGAGCTTCAGGAAGACAGAGGAAGGATCAGTTGTGTGTGGAGTGAGGGTTGAGAGCTGGTGAGAGGTTTTCCTGAAGAGGTACGTAACCCTGGAAGGGTCAAAGAAAGGGCTTCCTGAGATGGTTGAGCGTGCCATTAAGAATGGACACACCTCAGCCAGATGAGGAGCACTGTCTGGCACAGCACCTGCCCGTAGGAGATGCGTGAAGAGTGCTTCCCTTGGTCTCCAGGGTCAAGTCCATGGCTGTATCCAGGCAAAGCCTAGGCTGCTCATCGCTTCGATGCTGTTATTTCTCATTTCTCTTCCTGCCTTTGAGAAACAACCCACAGATAGGGGCAAATTCTAATCATGCTGATGGGGGTTTTCCTCTGTTGCATTTTTATAGCTTAGCCCCAGACAGTGTTGAGAGACAGGTTGGAATTTTGGAACCATTTCCAAACTGCTCTTGAACTGTCTATGCTTTTTTCACACACATCAGTGCTTTTTCTTAAGTAAAAGGACAACAAACACATGTATCTTTTCTGTTGCTACTGGACTATGATGAATGTGTTATAATTCCTTGGGCACAACAATTCCTTTATCCATTGTACAGTTTTTTGTTGGGCAACTTTGAGGAGCTTGGCACTGCATGCTGCAGTAGTTAAAAAACTCCTCTGCCCTCTACTTGTCTGGGTTTTGTGTTCCTGGTGGGCACATGGCTTGATTCTGAGCTTTATGTACATTAGGGTGAATACACAGTAGACACAGGAGCAAAGGGCTGTGGGAGCTCAGGGGAGGAAGTGACAAATATGTGGCAACTGACACTTGCTCTGGCTTAGGCAAAACGAGTATAGGACCTTGAACCACAGCATGGATGAGACCACACTAATGGAAGTTCAAGGTGGTGTCTGGGAGAGGTTGGTCATGTATGGCAGGAGAATAGGATCGGTCCTTAGACTGGGGATGATTCGTAGGTATAAAAGACTGTTACATTTAGAAAAAATCCTATCCTTCAGGGATACTGCTGAAAGGATGCCATGATGTGGGTAAGTGGTAGGGCCAGTGGCTAACTCCAACTCTATAAACTGGCACAGACATAGACCCCTACAGATGTTAAACTCAATCAAAGAACTCAAACCAGGGTTACCTATAAGAATTTCTGTCACAATATAAATGAAGAGCCCTAGACTGAGAGTGACTTTTCAGTCTTCCAATGCTTTCAGGCTGAGGGCATTTTTGCTACGGTGATGTTGTCTACCTGAGTTTGTGCCTGTTTTTGTTGTAAGTGATCAGAACAGAACACGGAAGCTGATAAAAATACGGTGAACTGACAGATTCTTTGAAGCTACCTGCAAGACCCTTTTACATTGCATCTCCCAGTCACCTGCTGGCTCTGTTAACAGACACAGTGACCTTAGGTTCCAACTTAAATTCCAACAGTCTTTAGAGTTGGTTTTTTACTACACTTTTTTAGTCAAAAGTAGTTATCCCTGATCAGTTCTCCGATAGGTGCAAGCAGCCAGATTTAAAAGCCAAACCAGAGCAATTTTCTGATGACAAAACTAGTTTTTTTGCTGATGTTCAGAGAATGCATGAGGCGGGAAGGAAAAAAAAAGCAAGCACTTCAGTTCTGGGAGCGCAAGAAAAATGTAAGTTCCACCAAGCCAATATTTATGCTAATGCTCTCCCTTCAGCACCAGAACCTCTGTATGGTTTCGAATTTCATTTTGCTTCAAGAGAATGAGGTAATTGGAGCAAAGACAGAGTGTGTTTGCAGTTACAGGGTTTTATGTCTTTGGAAAATGTAAACTCCGTCCAGCCTGTTAGAGACAGGTAACGTCTGTGGGTTTGGGTGCAGAGCCAGCCTGTGCGGAGCTTAGTGCAGGCTGAGAAGAGGGGTCCTGAGCTCTGAGAGGGCAGCGCTGTTCCAGAGAGCAGTTTCTGGCAAAAGTGATTATTAATGTGTGTGCTTATTCGCTTTCTGGTCAGAGAGCGTGCTGAGCATTAGACTTGAGTGAGGTTTTGAGGGGCTAAGAGCTGTGACTGGCCTCGGTCCCAGCAAGGCTCCAGCCACGGGAGGCAGGTGACCTCTGAGGAGCTGAAGCCAGAGCCGGGAGACCGCCCGGTCAAGTCCAGTCATCCCACATAAGGACACTCAGAGCAGGCAGCCTGGGGCCAGGGCGGGGCGGGGTTGTCAGCCTGTTGATGCTCCCTTGGTGTCTGGGACATTGTTTTGGGACCTGGGGACCCTGGTGCATGGAGGGTAGGACCTGTAAGTGCAGGCAGTACGTGGTGGTGGTTGTCATCGCCCAAACCCAGGTGCTCAGTATGGTCACTGTCAACCAGGACTGTCCTTTTCTATCCCAAATACTTCCACACACAGGCCTCTCCCAGTAATGCCAGTGTCTCCCAAGTACATACAGACTGTCTGTCTCCACGGGCTCTCAGCAAACGCATGAGGTTTTGGTATCACAAGCCTGCCACCCCTCAGAAACTGTTAGCATCATTCTTCTTGGCCATTCACAAAGGTGTCAGGAAATGTATGCTTTATGCTTTACGTACAGTCTCCTTAAACCCCAGATCTGTGATACTTACTTTATATACAGTGAAGTAAAGCAGGTAGGTGTTGTGTGCTTATTGTGTGAAAGAGATGTTAAATGATCAAGCCAGTCTGAGGACAATAGAAAAAGAGGGAGTAGAATATCTAATGATCTGTTTACTCGTAATATTGTGTGCTGCTGTGAAAAGTCCATCTTCTGATAGGCACATGGAGAAATGGGAGACACTGACCAAGTCCTTTGAGCAGAAACGACTCATGAAAACACCAGCTCAGGAAGAATGGTGGAGTCCCTGCGTTTACTGAGATGTTACAGGCCGTAGATGTAAAGGCAGCACACCGCGTTAAAAGTACCTGGTGCATTGCAGAGATGGGGGAGCATCCATGGTTTTTCTTAAGCATTATTTGGTTCATTTGCCAATATGTAACCTCTGTTTTAAGTAACAAAGAGAAACCTGTCATTTCCTGGGGCGGGGGGAAATCTCTCGGAGTCCTTGTTCACATTTTGCCTGTCACCTTTTTCTGATGTGTGAAGCTGCTGGTTGCTGTGGAGTATGCTAGCTCAGCAGCAGAAATGACCTGTGTTCTACCTGCTGCTTTTTGGCATCATGGATCGGTTGTTTAAGGGATGAACTTTTATACAGGGAAAATCAACAGTTGTATATTTCCTATGAAAAGGTAAAACCATAGCAACTAATGTTCTGCTCCCTTTTTTCTTCTGTCTGATGCTTCAAGAAAGCCTTTGGATAAAGAAACATGAATCCCGAACACTCAGAAAGCTTTCTGAAGTGCTAAGCTTCCATGCCCTACTCTTTCCTCCAACAGAAGTCTCTGTCCCACTTAGCTGAGAGTGCTTGAGACACTGATTTGTGACCCGTGCGCTCAAGCTAACTTCGGGATCAGTCTGCATATGATACAGTAGAGCAATGAGATAAAATAAGTAAGACTAGATGGAACTTCCGCTTGCCAAGGCGGAAATGTTGTTACTGATGGGTAAAGTAAAATAAATACAAATGCACCCACACGGCCCCACCCCACCCCACTCGCCTACCTACCTACCTGTCATCCATCTTTTTACCATCCATCTATCCATCACATCTTTCAGTCTGTCTTTCATTCTTTCACTTATCCATACATGCATTATCTCTGTATCATTTATCCTATCAATCTTTCATATCTTAAAGGGTCGCTTTGGTACCTTTCCATTAGACAAATAGGTTGTAATAAGTTTAACTCTGCAGAAAGTGACTGCAGAAATGATTAGAGCCATGCACACAGGTCTGAGGATGCGGAGTCTGGGGTTGCCACCAGGGCACGTGCGAACCAGAGGAGACTAGAGTGTTCACCTCAGACAAAATGTTTATCCCCCTCAATCTGCTTCTGAAAGTGCAACAGTAACGATGTGGGGACTGCACAGTGCAACTGTAGTCCATGTGTACTTATTTTCATCTATTCACAATCTTCGTAGGGTCTTTTGAATACCAAGGTGTTTGGTTATTCAACGTTCAGGATATGTTTACTGAGCATCTGCCACCTCACGTACCCTTCTAGCCCTGGGTACACAGCAGTGCATAAGACATCACCCATCCATTCATTTTTTTAGGCCCTGAACAGTTCACGAGTCATAACCATGTACCAGGTGGGCACTGTGCTAGAAGCTGGGGGCATTGTGGCGAGCGAGAGATGAGGGTCTTAGGAGTTGACAGAACCCCTGCAGACGGGAGGGAGTCTTGTCTTCTTTTCTTAGACACTGGGCCTGCCTCAGTGTAACAAGCCCACACAAGTGCAGTTATAGTGGCAGAGTCTATACCTGGTTGTGTTAGAGTAACATCCCAGTTCTGTGTTATCTGGGGTCAGTGGGGGCATTGGATGTGGTGGCTTTTAAATGTGGAACCCCGTGCTGTCTGTTGCTTTGATAGTAAGAGAGAGGAAGAAAAGATGGCTCTTACAGAGGTCTCACTTCCAGTCCCTCTTTCGCTGGCTTCATGTGCTCTGCGTGGCTCCAGACCCTGCATCACAACCCTTTTTTACTCGCCAATAGAAAGGGGGGGAATTTGCCTAACACAAACATCTGGTAATCCCTGACTTTGGGATTCTTCCATGAAGTGTCACAAATAGAGGCCATTCAGGTGAGGCGTGATTTCAAACATTAGAGCAGAAGGTTGGAATGCTGAACATCGAGTCTGAAACAGAAAGCGAGT